GAGGAGGCTGGGCCAGGGGAGAGGTGAACAGGGCGGCTCCCTGGACTAGACTGGCCGCGGCGGCAATCAAGATGGTAGACCTGCAGACTATTGAGGAGGTAGAATTGACAGCCTTTGGCAATTGTTTCACGGGGGAGGGGGTATGTAAGCCACCTGGAGACTCCCACCTGTGGCTACAGAGGAGTGGAGCATTGCAGTTACCATCGTGGGGATGTGAGAAATACCGTAGATAGGAGAACGTGGAATAATTGCCGGAGAGCGTGTAAGTCTCGTTTGTTCATGGAGAGCAGGAATGTATGGCAGGACTGCTCCAGGGCTGTCTGGGTTTCCGGCACTCGTCTAGGTGTGGGGAGGGGCTGCAGGATTGATCTTAGACTGGAGGTTTCCGGCAAGTGTGATAGAAGGACAGTGTGTAAGAGATTTGAGAGTATTAGCAAAATAGGAGACATGATGGCCCATGGAAGTGAAGGCATGAAGGGTTGCTAGATAGGAAGGAAAGAAATGAGAACTAGAAAGAAATGAGCACTAGAGGTCCTTGCGACAGTAGGTGTGGGAGGCATAACCGAGTGACAGATCTCAAGGGATCAGAGATCAAAGTCCTATTGGGAAGTTTGAATTTAATATTTCAGTAGCGAAAGAGCTGCTGGTGATGGCAGAGTCTCGAGGTCGGCCCCGTGAGTGGTCGAAGCGAAGTAGAGGAGAAGGTCGTTCGAGACTCGGAGTCAGGGAGATTAGAGGCTGGCATTTTGAAGGATATTCACGTGGATGCTGAGCTCACCCAAGGCGATGGCAGGAATTGAGGTGCAGAGGATGACAAGAACCAGGGGCTAACGTCTCAGAACAGTGGCTCTCGACGGGGGTGGCACTGCCCACTGGGAAGCATATGGGCATTTACTCTTTTATAAAGTCAGAATGGCTGAGGGGGCCAGGAATGTAGACGTGCCTTTCTGCGGAACACAGATCCGACCTGCATCCCGTATACTCTCGCAGATGTTTGTAGTGAACATTCAGGGACCAAACAGATCAACATAGGGTGGGGTGTCAAGATAAGAGGTCTGCCTTCTGGGACAACGAAGCACTATCCCATCCCATATATTTTTATGCTATACTTACATGTAAAGTGAGGGTCATTTGCAAAAGTATCATTTTCTTCACTTTGATAGTCTTGACCTGTTCTATTTCATCTGAGGCTGTTTCCCCCTCCCCTTACCATACCCCCCAAGTCTCCCAGTTGCTAGTCTTCATTATCCTATTTTCCTGCACCTTTGGGCTTCCATTTTCAGGTACTTTCTCATATGGAATGGTTCCTGAGCTTATTACTCTTAAATCCCACCATATTATAGGTGGGTGCAAACATCTGACGTCATTAGGTTTTCTAGTCATGTCCAAGCATTTACATATTGAAATACATATTTTATTATAAGTACTTTTTTGTCTTTCATATATTACAGTGAGGGCATTTTATTAATTTGGAGGGCTAGTGCATTACATTGGCTCCGAATTCCATTTCAGGGCATAAATGGGATATTACAGAGTATTTACTATAAAAAGGGAGAGCTGAGCCCCAGGGAATTGGTACTTGACAGCAGTTCCTGGCAAGACGGAAGGTGTTAGTGAGTGACCAGTAGTGGGGTGGAGGGGGGCGGAGGGAACAGGGGAGGGCGAGGGCCCTAAAAGTGTCAGCAAAGCACGGAAGGCATAGCCTCCCAACTCCAACTTCATCTTCACTCACACTTTTCCCTCCACGGGACACCCACCGTTCTCTTCTCCGTTCACCTGTCTGTTCTTCATTGTCTGGCATAAAACCTTATTCTTCTCAAAGCCCAGAAGAAGAATTAGGCAAGGGAATGAACACAAATGCCTGGATTCACACGGATTGCTCCCAAGAGAGGGAGCGTGATTACTTTCCGAATTAGTATGAAGTCTAATCGAGGTTCAAAGGCGTTAACTTTGTCCGTGACGTAGTCCCCCCGGGCTGCTGTAACGACACACCACAGCAGGGGTGGCCTGTCCACAACGGGAATTGACTTCTCACAGTCCTGGAGGCTGGGCAGTTGGTGGTCAGGGTGCCAGGGCGAGGGCCCTCTGCCAGGTCACACACATCTGGTGTGTCCTCACGTGCTGGAACTGGAGGGAGCTCTGTGGAATCTCTTTTATAAAAGAACATTGATCCCTTCCCGAGGGTCCAGCCTCCTGACCTAAGCACCTGCGCAAAGCCCCACCTTCTACCACCTTGGGTGCTGGGGTTCCAACATGTGAATTGGGGGTGGGGGGCACACCCATTCAGACCCCGGCACCTAGCATCACCAGGGAAAGGAGTAGTGAAGAGGGGACTCTAACCCAGGGCAGTCTGGGCTTGCAGCTTGCCTTCTGCCCAGCGCACGCACCACTGTTAAATGGACCCTGATGGCAGAGACGTTAGCCATTCGGGCCTTGTGACCTTCTAACTTGTTTTCCGACTCCTACTTGAAAGTGCTTTTTGTTTTGCCCCTAGTCTCATAATTGTTTTGTGTGACTCTCTCCCTCCAATTAGTTTCTTTGAAGGCAGAGTTCACTTTTGTTCGCTACAGCAGCTACAGTATGCCTTGTCCATGGTGGGTGTTTAATCTGTATACACGGACTGCTTAGACACCTAAGGCTTGTGCCAGTTTTCAAACACTTAAGGACCCACTAAAAACGTAGTGTCACGAGAGTTACCTTGACCAAAGTACATGTGGCGGATGGTTTTGCAAATTTAAAACGCATCATTAGATTTGGATCAAAAATACAATTAACGTTCAAAGATGTTCTTTTATTAAGCCCTAAAAATGTTTGAAATTGAAATGACTGGTGCCCAGACTCTGAACTTTGACTTTTTCAGGCGTACGTACATTTTTAGGCTCTTCTGGATACCATCACTTGGTGATATATACTCAGCTACTCTTGAGTGTGTTTCACTGAAAACATAAATATTTCTCATCTTTTTAATAGAAAGGCAGGGATTTAAATTTTGGTGGCAAAAAAGCAACAAACGAACTAGCTTTTCCTTAGGTACACCTGAACTCGAGATACTCTTTACTTGGGATGCCAAGTGGGATCCATGTTCTCAGGCTGTCTTAGGGATCCAGGTGAATTACAGACGTGTGTATGTGGTGTTTTGTTATATAACGTGTTTATATTTTCCTGTTTTTCAGGTCCTGTAGGAGTAGGTCTGAATGAACTGAAACGAAAGCTGCTCATCAGCGATACCCAACACTACGGTGTGACAGTGCCCCGTAAGTTCCCTGCACCCCCAATAACAATCGGTCAGCACTGATGAAAGATGGGTGGCACCTGACACGGTTCCAGTCGTTCAGCCTCTGGACCCACAACAACCCTAGCAAGTATGCAGCAACACTCTCCACTTTTTACAGTGGAGGAAACTGAGGCACGGGAGTGAAAGGGTTGCCCCAGACTGCAGAGACCGTTGGTGGGACGTTTGTTAATCACGGCTTCTCTATTCTCAGTTTTTATGGTGAATTTTAATATGCATGTGACACTAAATTAGTATTTACAAATTTTCTCCTAGATAAAAGCCTGACTCTTCTACTTCCTAAAATAAGTGCTAATGTTTTCCAGAGGTTTTCACCAGGTTTAAGATCAGAAGGACCAAACCACAGAGAGCCGAAGGAGGCCTCTTCTAATAGAAGCCTTTCTTAATTACTTTTTATATGTAGTAATTGGCAGATGGTGTTAAATGGGCCTTTCATGGCCATATAATCCAAATATGGTGGGCTTCTTTTCAGTATACAGAATTAGATCTATTTTTATAAAAGAGGTTTTCATAGGCTTTCTTACAAGTGAAATGTGATGCTGGAAGCATTTTGATCTCCAGAATAAATGCCATTTGACTACTTAATATGTTGATGTTAGAAAGCCGTCTAAAAGGCTAAAATTGAAGTGTTGGCTTTTTCAAGTGGTTTTGGTCCTGTTAAAAACAAAACAAAACAAAACACACAACTGTTTGTATATGGCCCTGAGCAGTGTTCTCTAGTTTTGGAAGAGTTTGACTTTATTTTAAAATTATAGTTTTCTGTTACCTCAAGTTACTCCTTGTTACTGCATTTTTCCAAATTATTGTTTATAATCATTTTCAGCCATATGTTATAGGGCCCTTGGTTTCCACCAACAGAGATGAAAGGAAAGGAAAAATGTGGAAATGTGGGATTAAACTGTTTTTTTTTTTCTTTAACTTTAATTCACTTCTCTTGCAAAAGCTGGCTTGCAATATATGGGTAATTCGAGAATTTTACAAAACAATTGTCAGTCTTACAGGGGAGTAGTTACAAAGCACCTGGAGGGTGGAAAAATGGATTACAAAGGGAAAAAAATGCATGTATTAATCTCCTAACTCGTATTCATCTACTTTATTTGTCTTAGTTTATTTCATCGTCCCAACCACTGGGCGACATCTGCCTGCCACAGAGGAGGGAAGAGAAAGGCTATGGGACTTACTCAGAGTTGTACTCATCACAGTTGCATGCACCATGATTCTACTTTTCATGTCCCTCCTATACAGCACTACCCAGTCTTTTCCAACTATGAATGCTCTTTATTGTCACATAGTTAGTAATAAACATCAATTTATTTGGAAGATGATAAATACCAATAAGACTGTCTCTGAAACATAACCCTTTATGGTAGTTTTGGTGTTACTCAAGGACCTGGGGCAACGTACTTGGGCCTCAGTCTATCCAACACTTCAGATAATACCTGTCTCCGAGGTTGTTACAGAAATTGACAACATCCAGAAAGGTTCTGGGACTGGGACTCTCCAAAGAAATCCCCGAAGTAGTAATTTTCCACTCAGATTCACTTTTAAACAGGTGTTAATGTCAGAGGATCCCCACAGAGCAGTGTTTTCCAGACTCGCCTGATGATAAAAATCTCTTGGGCTTCTTAGGAAAAGATTCCAAGACCTTTCCAAAGAGATCCTCCTTCAGGAAACCTGACAGAATGCCTGAAAATCTATTTTATATATCCCAAGTGACTCATAACACTGGACATTTTGGGAAAATAACAGCCAATAGCATCAACTCAGGATGATTTCATTAATTACAGAAGAATGTATTTTAAGAACGGTTTTGGAATTTTAGATTGTTTTGCTTTGTAAAATACTCCAGGTAGAGTCTTGATTATCTAGAGAAAAATTATTGCTTTGATTATTCCACCAGTATTCTGTTCGATGTTTAACTATAAATCTTCCCCAAAATGCACTAAATCTCCATCAGAATGGGTAAGTTGAAAATGATGCGGAGCAATGAAACTCTCACGTATTGCTGGCGGGAGTGTAAATTAATTTCACCCACTTTGGAAAACTAAGTGGCAGTATCTACTAAGGCTGAGCGAGCATCTACCCCGTGACCCCGCGATCCCACTCCTAGTACGCAGCCAACAGAGATGCACACAACATGCACTTGGATAGTCTTAGAAACGTTATTCAGAAGAGCCCCAAACTGGAAACGACCCGAATGCCCAGCAGCTGTAGACTGGATAGGTACGTGATGGTATATTCATACAACGGAAGGCTATGATGCACAATTTGCTACTACAATGCAGCAATATGAATAAACCCCCCAAACATGTTCAGCGAGAGGAGGCAGACAACGAAAGAGAATATGCAGTATGACTCCATGTTTACAAATACAATAAAAGCAGTGCTAACGTGCTCTTAGAAATCGTGAGGAGGTGGGTTGGAAGGGTGGTTCTGGAGTGCTGGAGATGTTCCGTTTTGTGGTAGAGTGCTGCCTACCCGGGTGTTTTCGATCTGTGGAAGCTCATTACGTTTATGTGTGAACTTCTCTGTGTATCACACTTCAGGGTTTTGAATGTTAAAAAGAAATACTTGGTACTTTAGTTCACTGTGGTTTGCTGATGTCGATTTGCTGGTCTCGACTGCATGACGGTTATGGAAGATGAACACCTTCCTTTATTGGAGAAAACTGAGTGATAGTTACATGGAATCTTCTCTAGGCTGTTTTTGCAACTTATTGTGAATCTATAATTATTGCAATTTAAAAAAATTAAAGGGATGCTAAATGAGGTAAATACTGGTGCTCCTGAGCTAAAATGGCAGAACAGATTATATGATCTTTACAAAATATCTGTGTCGCCACGTTAAACGTTCCAAGTTGCTTTTAAGCCGAGGCCCATTTTCTGCTGGTTTGCTTCTTTGTGGCAAATTTCATCCTTGATGAGCAGCGTCAACACTGTTTTAAGGCTCTACGTTATCATCAACAAATTTAAATGACTATTAATGTAACCAGTCTTTCAAAAGGCTGTCTCAGTAAATTAAAATAGTTAACAAAAAGTATTGCATTGATCTATGTGAGTGCTGTGAATTGTGTAAGACTGATCAATCACAGATTTGTACCTCTGAAACAAATAATACATTATAGGTTTAAAAAAAAAAAAGAAGATAGCAGGAAGGGAAAAATGAAGGGGTGGAAATCAGAGGGAGAGACGAACCATGAGAGGCTATGGACTCTGAGAAACAAACTGAGGGTTCTAGAGGGGAGGGGAGGGATGAGTTAGCCTGGTGATGGGTATTAAAGAGGGCACGTTCTACACGGAGCACTGGGTGTTATACGCAAACAATGAATCATGGAACACTACATCAAAAACTAATGATGTAATGTGTGGTGATTAACATAACATAATAAAATTTTTAAAAAGTGATATTAAAAAAAAAAGTATTGCAGTAGATGTCAAAGACTTGATGAATCACTTCCACAGTCTTTCTAGTCTGGAATTTGGGCACTCACAGTCAACCACACCTGTTAATCACTTTGTGGTTTCTCATGAAAGCATATATCACAGTTATATGTTTTCATAGGTTTCAAGGAACTCGTGTTCGATAACACTTCTTTGTCCATAGAAAACCCCAGTTGAGATTTCTAAAATATATATATAAAAACTAGGGTACCAATTAAAAATTTTTTTTTTCTTATCTCACCATGGCCATTACTTGGGAATTTTGTTGGAAGCAGGGGAAGAGGGTAGAGTTGGAGTTTGTCTCATATGTGTTTGTGGTTTGTCTTACACTGTAAACATAGTGGGTACCCAGACAGTGAACTATAGTGAGGTAGCCTGCATTGTGGTTAATATGTCCATCTTTCCCTTTGAAGTTCCCTTGAGAATTTCCAGATCCCTTAATTCAGGATTCCTTACTGTGAATGAGTTTGTGAGATTCCTATGGTCCCTCAGTGCAATAAACACGAAAATTCTTCAGTGGTAAAGTTACATCAAGCTTGCTAATTTGGGGTGCTCGTGATAAGCAAACAGTCTTGACTGTAGATATGTCCAGTTTTAAATGCGTTTATCAGTGTCATAAATGTCTTGTTCGCTTGATGTAGTTCTACTTTTAACCCTCCCTAGGGGACTCTGTATGTCAGGGCAGTGATCCTTAAAACTGTGTGGGCTACATTTGAAGAGTGTCCTGACATTACAGTTGAAGAAAGGAAGCCTTTTCTCAGTTCGCCAGAGACCGATTAATGCCCATAAAATTCTCAGTTTTGATTTTCACCAGTACATTTTTATGAAGCTAACTATTTGTTAAAGGAACACCAGTAAACAAAACGAAGCTGTTGAAGTAATAAATGAATATCAACCCTAAGTTTGAAAGCAGGGCATCATACTAATTTTAATAGCTTTTAAACTCTTGGGTGCATATTGTGTTACACACACATGATAGAGTCTATTTCTGTTGTGAAATTCATTCTTAGCTTTTATGATAGAATTAAATTTATTAGTATGTCATGCTATTACTGCAAAGGATGTGACACTTCATAAAAAAATAGCATAACTTCTTGGTGCTTTAAGAGCAGAAATATGAAAAACTGTTTCAGGAGATCTGAATGGTGTATTAAAATATGCTTGGTAACTAAATAAAAGTCCATTAAAATTTTAGATATAATTTAAATTAATTGGGTTTGTATTGAGGTACTTTTTCCCACTTCCCTCAGCTTTTGTTTTCTGTATTACTAAGATATAATTGAAATAAATAAGCTGCACATATTTAAAATGTACAATTAGATCAATTTTAATATACATAGACACACATGAAATCATCACCACAATCAACATAATGAACATTTCCATGTCTTCAAAAAATTTCCCCATGCGTTTTGTAATCCATCCTTCTACCCCTGGCTTTGGGCAACCATGAATCTACACTCTGAAACTATAGATTAGTTTGAATCATCTAGCACTTTATATAAATAAAATTATACAATAT